AAAAATTTTCACGGACCCGTACGTAAGAACCACGCACACCTGAGCGCTGGGTTTGAAATTACTAAGCTCTACGTGAACGGGGAACATCCCCTCAAAATTCCAGCTTTCTAACTTTTGAGGTTCTGAAGTTAGCAACTTACCTGTAAAAAACTTCCACGTGCCCGTACGTAGGAGCTGCTCATAAATGCATGTAGACTAAATTTACAAAGCTTCGCCTTTTTACTTCTGTAGGTCTCGAAATGAAAAAAACGGTACAGACAGACGCAGGCAACTAGGCTGACTAGGCCTTCACTGCCTGAAGATATTTAAATCTAATTAGGGAAAAACATTTCTTTTTAATGCGAATATTAAGTTTTGTAGCGCAGCAAGTAATCGCATCTCTGCAAAAAATGCATAAAAAATGGAAAACCAACTCTTTGCAATTCCTCGTCACTGACTGTCAAATCGCTCGATTCGCTGTTCGTATCCGACTGCAGTGACGATGTTTCTTCCAGTTCTCCTTTCCAAAATTTGCTCATTTCCTCATTTATCCTTTCAGATTTCACCGAACTTTGTCTGGCTGTAAATATGAATGAATATTAAGCAAACTGCAGCAACCAGTTTGGCCATGCTTTCATCGTTGAAAACATTTAAATCTAGTTAGGGAAAAACGTTTTTTTTTTTTGCGAATATTAAATTTCGCAGCGCAGCAAGTAATCGCATCTCTCTCAAGCGCATGATTTCTTTGAATTAATCAATGATCATCATAACATCGACATCAAAAGTCAAAATCAAAATGCCCACTGCGTTCGATTCTATAGAGAGGTGGGAGCATTCAGACGTATTCCCTGTTTTAAGCCTCTGCCGTCGAAACTCTATCACACCATTCCTTTATCGCTCCCCCTTCTCCTCGTCCCCCTAAATTCACACTACCCAGCTTTCGTGGTAACGTTCCCCATCACCGGTAGACCTTTTTGCTTTTCGCACATTATCTGAAGCAGAGCCGAGGTGAGTTTTCGTAACTGCCCTCGCATACATAAAGTTTCGAACTGCACTTGTATCACGCCTTAGAAAACATCAAAGATATTTGTAACGAAGTGGTGATTTCGGGTACCGGACAAGTTACGAAGCTGAAATCCTGCAGGAATATTCTATATCCTCGCGTGGCTTGGAGGCTAAATTCAACTCCGGGACTAATCCCCTGTACACGGACATAATAAATGCTCAGTTCCGTCCCAAGCCCAAAATGAGCGC